TAGAACACAACCCGCATGGCACCAGGGCACAAACAAGGCATCGCAACAGTTACTTTCGATTCCTTCCGGCAACAACTAAATTCACTTGAACGTTCGGCGGCCCGCGAGGATGTACTTTAGCAGGCGAAGAACGGTATAGCACCAACCGTTCTCCCAGCGGCCTGTGAGAGGTGTCCCGGATCATGGAACGAACTACTTGCCGTCGCTCGGACGTCCATTTCCCGTGCATTTCTCTGTCTCGTGCGTGTGTTTCTTGCTCGATGGTCCAGGATGCTCATGGATGGCCCCCGCCGAGAAAAAATGCGCACGTCCGAGCGATGCCAAGATTGTGCTGCACCCCTCCTCGCCCGCCGATCCCTGGGTCAGCGCCAGACCGCCCTCACCGTGCCACCTCCTCGGCACGCGGCGCGCCGGGAGGCCACGCCGCGAGCGCGCCGCCCGAGCGCGCGTGAGGCCGGGGGGGGGGGGGGGCCCGACGCCGTCCCGCGAAGTCCGCGCAGATCTCCAGACACGGTGAGCGTTTTTTTTTTTTTTCTTTTTCTTTTCCCCCCGGCGTCTCGCCATCGGGCGGAAAGGGGGAGGGGGGGTCTGGCTCCCGACCTCTGCTTCGATGCGACTGTCTGCAACGGTGCGCCCCGGGGGAGGAGATCCCGCCTGCTCGAAACCGGCGCCCCCAAAACAGCCAAGAGCTACTCCATGGGGGGGGTGGGAGGGCTACGAGGGCCCGCGCCGATCGGCAAAACAGTGAATAAGGGAACGATCCCCAGACATGTGTGCGTACAGTGGAGGCCCGACCACAAGAAACCTTCCACGAGAATACCCAACTCTGCGACCCCAGGACGTCTATCGTTTTTTTGGTGTGGGAGCGTCGCGCCCTTTATGGTAAAATCATTGAGCCCCCAGAAACCCAGGGCACCCTGGAGGCAAGCAGGGTGAGGCAAGCAGGGTGTTCCTTGGCATGGACCTCCACTGTACTCCATGGGGGTGAGGGAGGGTGGCACGAGGGCTCGCGCCGATCGGCAAAACAATGCATTCGAAAACGATCACCAGACATGTGTGCGTACAGTGGAGGCCCGACCACAAGAAACCTTCCACAATAATACCCAACCAGACCCCAGGACGTCTATCGTTTTTTGGTGTGGGAGCGTCGCGCTTTTTATGGTAAAATCATCGAGCCCAAAGAAACCCAGGGCACCCTGGAGGCAAGCAGGGTGTTCCTTGGCATGGACATCCACTGTACTCCGCGGGGGTGGGGGAGGGTGGTACGAGGGCCCGCGCCAATCGGCAAAACAATGCATTCAAAAACGATCACCAGACATGTGTTCGTACAGTGGAGGCCCGACCACAAGAAACCTTCCACAATAATATCCAACCCTGAGACCCCAGGACGTCTATCGATATTTGGTGTGGGACGGTTGCGCTTTTTATGGTAGAACCATCGAGCCCCAATAAGCCCAGGGCACCCTGGATGCGAGCAGGGTGTTCCTTGGCATGGACCTCCACTGTACTCCGCGGGGGTGGGGGAGGGGGGTGCGAGGGCCCGCACCGATCAGCAGAGCAGTGCATTCGGAAACGATCACCAGACGTGTGCGCGTATGTTTTCGTCTTGCTTGTTCCTGTAGTGCTCCTCGAAGACCGACGGCGGAGCCCCTGCCACGCCTCCGCCGGCGGAAACCCCGATGAGAGCCGACGTCTCGAACCAACTTGCAACACTAGAAACAACCACACATCGGCCAGAGCCCCAGGCCCCATCTCGGCGGCAAGCGGGCGGGGTGGGGAAGTGAGACGGAGGAGGAGGAGGAGGAGGAGGCGGAGGAGGAGGAGGAGGACGAGGAGGGGGAGGGGGAGGAGGAGGAGGACGAGGAGGGGGAGGGGGAGGAGGAGGAGGAGGAGGAGGAGGAGGAGGAGGAGGAGGAGGAGGAGGAGGAGGAGGAGGAGGAGGAGGAGGCGGCGAGCGAGGGGGGGGAGGGAAGTGAGAAGGAGAAGGCCTTCTCAGAAGGCGGCGGGACCGCTCAGAAGCCCTCGCGCCTCCGGAGAGGTTTTTTGGTGCCTCCGGGGAAGGCTGAGACAACATCTCAGAAGCCTGGGGGACTTCCGAGCCTTCTGAGAAGGCCCGCCCCTTCTCGCTTCCCCCCCCGCCGAGCAAAAGCAGCGGCCAGAGCCCCAGACCCCATCTTTCTGCGCCATTTTTCGAACAACGATCGAGCTGTGAGGATCCCCGGGCCCGAAGTGGTGCGAAAGCGCCCGGCTCGGGAAAAGTGAGACGCCAGGACCTCAAGGGAGCCGCCCTCGTGCTGCCTCCGCCCGCCTTCCGCCGGAAAAGAGAAGTCAACCTCTCGATCCCAGGACGCCGAGGACTTCTCTTGGAGCGCCCTGCGACGGACCGCCTGGGAGTGAGAACGAAGCGTAAAGTAAGGAAGTGCACGTTTCACACGGTGATGGCGTTGGATGAGGCAGCCTTGGATAAGGATCCCAGGGTCTGAAAGCTGGTGGATCACCCACTGAGGTTTGGCCATGAATAGCACTACCGCCCTCATCGAAGAAGGAGCCCTCCAGGGTCTGAAGCCTCCTGGGCACTTTCCCTAACAGACGCCCCCAACGTGCTTCATATGTGCGCTGGAATGGAGTTGCATTATACATGGTTCAACCTTCCATACAAACCTGAAGGCGCCAGATCCCCGACCAGAATCCGCTGAACATCGGTGCCCAGCTCGCTCCTAAGGTCCTTTCTGGCTAGTCTCTCGATCCTGTATTCAGCAGTGGCGACGAGCACCTCGAGAAACGCCCCCCCCCGCCCCCCCCATCAACCCCCTCACGGTTTTGCTAATGCATATTTTTCCTGGAGGCCTGACGGCGGAGCCCTGGGAGAGCAAGCTGCGGCGCTGGGCGCAAGCCCCGGGCATCTCGGCTTGCCTGCGTCGGCCAAGCGAGCCTGCTGTTGAGCTCGACAGAAGAGCACGGGCTGGTTGCTTGAACCATCGTGGCAACGGGCAACGGGTGATGACGTTGAGGGAGTTGAGGGAGAGAACGAGGATGAGGACGCGGATGATGATGCTGATGATGACAATGATGATGCTGATGATGACGATGATGATGCGGCTTCTGCTGCTACTGATGACGGTGACGATTACGACGATGAGTGTGATGATGGTGATGATGACCATGATGATCATGATCATGACGATGGAAGTAAGGATGCTGATGATGTCGATGGTAAGGGTGATGCGACTGATGGTGATGAGTATGGTTATGGTAATGGTGATGGCAATGATGCTCATACTTATAATGATTATAGCGGTGATGGTGATACCTATGATGGTGATGACAATGCTGACGGTGATGATGATGGGGACGATGGTGGCGACGACGACGATGATGATGGTGGTGATGCTGATCATGACTAGGGCGCGCTGATGTTTATGATGATTGTGCTGATTTGGATGCTGATGATAATGCCGCTGGTGATGGCGATGGTGGTGATGATCATGTTGATGTTGATGGTGTTGATGGCAAAAACAGTCACGAGGATGACAATGACGATGACGACGATGATGCTGCTGATGATGATACTGATGGTGATGATGGTGTTGCTGATGAGGATGATGCTTGTGCTGCTGCTGATGATGAGGATGATGCTAATGATGATGCTAGAGATGATGATGATGATGATGCTGATGATGATGATGATGATGATGATGATGATGATGATGATGATGATGAGGATGTTGAATGTTTTCTCCCGCGCCTTGGACAGTGTCCGCGAGAGCAGGAGGAGGTTGCATTAAGCAGCTGGTTCACATACTCCCCCGCGCATGTGAAGTGTTTTTGCGCGGTTGCATTTGCGAGCGGGCATAAATTCTCGACGTCGGCGTTGTTCGCAAAAGCGCGAGCGGGGAACGCGAGGGTTTCGGGCCCCTCTGGGGCCCCAAATCTGGCCAACATTGACGCACTCCCCCGAAACACCGACAATGACATCTCTACGTTGGTTTAACTCGGCCAACACTCTGGCCCGCGTCCATAAACCTAACTAAACCGGCTACGCTGGGACAGCATGGCGTAGCGAGGGTAAGTATGTCCACAGCATGTGGATGCGGCAGTGCTAAGACGAAACGAGCGTGTTCCAGCTGCGCCACAGCTTCAGAAGCGACGTGGTCAGGAGTTCTCCTCAGCCTCCGCATCACTTCCCCTATCTCCCTCCACACTCGCTGGTCTGTCAGAGCCAGATGCGATGCGACGGACGCCGACATCACTGAACAAACGTACGACATCTACAAACTCTACAGTCAGTCGGATGAGCCCTGGCGTGAGTAGCGCGCGACCTTGACAGTAGAGAGTGCAATCCTGTTCGCGGGCTCTAGACATGGCAATGCCAGAACAAAACGTGGTCCAGGTCCGCTACAACTCCAAACGCAAGGTGTCTGATGTTCTCTTCTGCCACCGCATCTCTTCCCTCCTCATCACCTGCTCCTCTTCCAAGTCTGTGCGCATGCCAGATGCAACGCGTTGTGAAACCACTGCCCACAATATCTCTTGCCCGTAGGAATAAAGTCTTCCGCGCTCGACACTCTGGACGCATGAATCTCGTCTTGAACACGCTACAACCGCTAAAGTGGCACCTCCAATCTAGCTCTCCGCTGCTACGATTCTTGTCTCCGCAACATGCACTCGGGGATCTACTGACCCAGGCCAATCCAGACCCGGGTCCAGTCAAGCTTTGCAAGATCCTGCAGGATCCTGCGCCTAAGCCCGGGTGAATGCGACCCTGGCCCCGCAGGATCCTGCAAGATCCGGCGCTCTACCTGACCCCCGTTCGCCTTGACCCCCGCTTCTTGAGCCCCGATGCACCACTCGAGCGAGCACCAACGCGACGACGACGACGACGACGACGACGACGACGAACGACGACGACGACGACGACGACGACGACGACGACGACGACGACGACGACGACGACGACGACGACGAACGACGAGCGGCGAGGAGCCACGTCGACGGAGACGAGCCACGGGCGACGAGCAACGACGGCGAGGAAGGCCCAGGACGGCCCAGGGCCACGGCACCTGGCCGCTGCTCCCCCGGCCGGGCCCCCCCGCCGCCTCCTGGGGTGCGAGGCGTCGGCCAGGGCGCTCGGCCGCGGGGGCGAGGCCAGCGCGCGGCGCGGGGGGGCGGGGCGGGCACCGAGGGCGAGCGAGCGCACTGAGGAGCAGGAGGAGGAGGAGGAGGAGGAGGAGGAGGAGGAGGAGGAGGAGGAGGAGGAGGAGGAGGAGGGGCCAAGATGGACACGGCAGGGGCCCGACCACCAGGAACCTGCCATAAGAAACCCGCCCCTGAGACCCCCATGCCGTCCACCGGTTTTCGGTGCGGGAGCGCCGCGCCCGATCCCCCTGCCCCCTCCCCATGTGTCTGAAGGTGGGGGGGGGGTCGCCAGGGAGTGAACGTCCAAAGCGGTCTCGGCGAAGAAGCCCACACCTTTCTTTTAAAACGAAAGCTCGGACTCCGGGGGGAGGGGCATCATTGAGGAGCGCCCCTCCTTTGATCGCCTCCCCAATATGGCCCCTGAGGCTTCCGACCGAGGGCGCCCCAAGACGGCCCCAAGAGGCACCCAGGAGGCCCCCAAGATGCCCCCAGGAGGCTCCCAAGATACCCCCAAGACGCCCAAGAGGCCCCCCAGAGGCACCCAACACGCCCCAAGAGGCCTCGGTGGCATTGCCAACATCAGTAATGTTATTCAAATGTTGGCTACATTTTGACCTCCTGGGGAGGGGGCGCTAAATTACAGCGGCCCCTCCTTCGATCGATCTCCTCAAGATGGCTCCAAGATGGCCCCCGAGGCTCCCAAGGGTGCCCCAAGACGGCCCCAAGACGTGCCCCAAGAGGTGCCCAGGAGCCCCCAAGAAGCCCCCAAGATTGCCGTAAGATGGTCCCAAGAGGCTCCCAAGAGACCCCCAAGAGGCCCCCCGGAGGCACCCAAGAGGCCTCGGCCGGCGAGAAGACCCAAATCATTGATGTTACTAATGCTTTGGCCACATGTTGGCCTCCTGGCGGGGGGACCCTGATATACCACGGCCTCTCCTTTTGTCGATCTCACCCCAGATGGCCCTCAGATGGCCTTCGAGGCTCCTAAGGGTGCCCCATGATGAGCCTGAGAGGTGCTCAGGAGGCTCCAAGAGGCCCCCAAGATGTCCCCAAGAGACTCCCCAGGGACCCCCAAGAGGCCCCAAGAGGCCCCCCAGAGGCACCCAAGACGCCCCAAGAGTCCCCTCTGCCAAGAGACACCCCAAGAAATTCCAAAAAGAAATCATAACAGACTCCGAGAGACATCCAAGAGGCTTCCGGCTTTTCTGATCGCCCTCCTCCTTCTCCTCATCCTCATCCGCCTGTTCCTCCTCCTTCCTCCTTCCTCCTCACCCGCTCTCCATCCTCCCCCTCTTGGGGTATGACGTTTGCAGTGCATGCTCCTCCACATCCCTCATCAGGGCAACGCGTCTGGGCATCGTTTCTGGATGGGCTGGTGGGGTGATGCGAAGCGTCTATAATTATGATGGCGACGATGAGTATGCTGCTGATGATGGTCATCATTATCATCACCACCACCATCATCACCGCAATCAGCAGCGTCATCATTGTCATCAACATCGTCATCATCAACGCGCCGACTCGTCCCTTACATCCCCATTGCCAGCCGCGCGTTGCTGCTGCTGCTGCTGCTGCTGCTGCTGCTGCTGATGATGATGATGATGATGATGATGATGATGATGATGATGATGATGATGATGATGATGATGATGATGATGATGATGATACAGGTAATGATGACGATAATGATGCTGCTGCTGATGGTGATGCTGCTGATGATGAAGATGGGAATGAGGAAACTAGGAGGAGAGGAATGGATTGGATCCTCTTCTCGTCGGTCAAGAGGTGCTGAAGCCTCCTCCTGTCTGTGGGACGAACCCCAAAGGGTCCTAGTCAGCCTGCAGCGGCCTTGCAACGGCGTGGGCAACATAACATCCCAACGAGATGTGGCAGATTCTTAGAGGCAGCAACGGGATGGAAAAGACAGAGGCTTGAAAGAAGGCAGGCGGCAGTATGGAAATGAAAAGTGATGCCCCATGTAGCAAGAAGAGCGAGCCTTAGACTTGCGAACCTTCTCCAAATCAGCCTTGAGGTAATCGCCGAGGCCCTTCCAATGCACTCTTCTCTGCTCTCTCTTCGTTCGCAGCATTCCAGTCTGGATCACCCGCTAATCGAGAAGATATAGCCACGTGCGCCACGTGTGCATTCTATGTACCTTTACCCTGCTCACCTCCTCCTCTCCTCCCCGTTCTCATCGTTGAAATGAAACAAACTGGTCCTGAAGGGAGCGGGTCCTGGATCTGGGGATCTTACCCCCGAACCATTTGTGAATCCCGAACCGCTTTTTGACGGTCCCGATACCTGTGGATGGCCCCCGATGGCCCCGTTTCCTTCTGGACCCTCGCCTTCATGGCGACATCGTCTCGTCCTCCTCGCCCTCCTCCTCTGTACTCGGGTCGGACGGAGCGTGGCGTTAGAAAAGGCTTGGTTAGCGAACCAGCTCACGTAGCTAATTCTCATGGCGCCTCCCGGCGCCGCTGGCGCCGGTGTATCAGCCCAGCGGCGGGGAAGAAACCAGCTGCATGCAGCAAAAGTCTGTGCCCCCTCTCTCTCACTACACCCGTTCGCCTGACGACATGTACGCTGCTGGCATGCCACCCTGGGAGGAGGAGGAGGAGGAGGAGGAGGAGGAGGAGGAGGAGGAGGGAGGAGGAGGAGGAGGAGGAGGAGGAGGGGGGGGAGGGAGAGGAGGGGGTGGAGGAGGAGGGGGAGGAGGATGGGGAGGATGGAGGAGGAGGAGGAGAGAGGAGGAGGAGGAGGAGGAGGAGGAGGAGGAGGGAGGAGGAGGAGGAGGAGGAGGAGGAGGAGGGGGGAGGAGGGGGGAGGAGGGGGAGTAGGGGGAGGAGGAGGGAGGAGGAGGAGGAGGAGGAGGAGGAGGAGGGAGGAGGAGGAGGAGGAGGAGGAGGAGGAGGAGGAGGAGGAGGAGGAGGAAGTGGGTCCTGCGCGCCGTAGACGAACAGGAGACGCGGCGCTGGGCAGGCTCCCGCGCGGGCCCTGGCTGGTCCGACCACTCCTGGAAACCACACGGCGCACACGGCGGGGGTACGGGACAACACTGGACGAACACACACGACTGGACCCGGACACATCGGAGTTCTTTGAGGCCGGGTGGGCTTGGCAGATGAAAAAATAACTAAATACATATAGACATACTCATATACAAATACATATATATACACATATACACATATCTATCGGGCGCCGCGGACGTTACGAAGCGAATTGGAATCGCCGGATCCAATGTAAAATGGTCCTGGATCGGTGTTCGCCCTTTCGGGCTACCCAGGGCCCTCCCCGGGCCCCCCCGAGGCTGTCAAAGAACTGCCGGGGGCGAAGAGCTGGCACTGGGGGAAGCCCCGAAAGAGAAGAAGGAAAAAGAAGGAGGAGGAGGAGGAGGAAGACGAGGAGGAGGAGGAGGAAGACGAGGAGGAGGAGGAGGAGGAGGAGGAGGAGGAGGAGGAGGAGGAGGAGGAGGAGGAGGAGGTGGGATTCTAGCGCCCCTTTCCATCATAAGCCCGTCGTGGCGAACCGGATGAGGAGGAACCGCTGGATCTGGAACCTGGATTCTCGCGGAGCCGCTGGATCAGGAACCTGGATTCTCGCGGAGGCCACAGCTCCTCGGCCGTCTTCGGGGCCTCCCCGGGCCCCGACGTCCGTTCGGGTCCTCGCTCCGGCGCGTCCGGGTATTCTCCGAAGACGTGCCCCGCGAGGCGTGCCACCCTGGGAGGCCAGGATCGCTGGCAGCACCTAGCCAAGCGGGAGGGGCGGGCGCGAAGGAGGACGTGCAGGACTCTGCGGGACAGACCGCGGGCCACAATACCGCAGGCATGCAAAAGGCATGGGACACGAGGGCACCCTTGATTTGACAGGGTCGGCCTACCAATCAGCCTCGACTGTGTGGCCCCGCCTGCGGAAGAGGTTCGCTCTCGCCCCGCGGATCAAAAAAAAGAGACTGTGCGGCCCTGCCGACTCCGAATCACGCGATGGCCCAGTGCAGTGACACCGACAACCTCGAGACCCTCACCGACTGCACCGTCCACCTCGGCAGCCGTAGGGGGCCTCGCCTCGGGTCCGAGGACGGCGTCGGACGAGTACAAACAGGAGAAGAAGGATGAGCAGCATCCGTTGCTCCCTTCGAGAAAAATGGCCCCTCCACGAGAGGCACGAGAACGAGGAGCGCCCCGAAGTCTGGCCCTCGAGTGGACGTTCCCCGCCCCGCGCGGCACTCCCGAATCTGGCGGGGAGAGAGCTCGAGAAAGTGAGCGCGGCTGCACTCCTGGACCCGGCGGCTTCCCGCACATCGGGCGTGACAGAACTCGGAAAAGTAAGCCCGGCTAAAGACGTGCGGCCACACGTGCATCCAGCTCTCGCCCAAGCTGGCCACGTCATATGTGGGCGATTTCGGAAACCCTAAGCCCAAACACGTTCTTGTCCGCTCTAAGGAGGATTTGTTTTACTTCCGCCACCTTCCGCCGCTCTTCCGCCGGCGGGGGCGGCCTCCGCGGACCTTCCGCCGCCCTTCCGCCGCCTTCCGCTGCGGAAGAGATGGCAAATCCTTCGACTCTCGACGGCAAGGCCCTTTCTGGAACGCCCCATATGTATCCAGCTCCCTGGTGCGAACACCGAACCGACGAACACACACACACACAACTCGGACGGTCTGCATGCCGCTCGAACGGACCACACGCGCGGCTTTGGAGAGGAGGGTGCCGCGAGCGGACCCTGCTCGTGCGCACGACCCCCCTTCGCACGCGATCTCGTGCGGTCTCGCACGTCCAGCTGCTCTGACCGGAAGCGCGACGCAACTCCTTGGGGTGCCCTCCTGGCGACGCGCGCGCGCTACGTCACGTGCTCGGGCATGGACCCTTCGGTTGCTCCTCTCCGCATCCGCCTCCTGGCGGTGATCGGCGGACATTCGATGGCATTCGGCGGCCATTCGTCGGTTTGTTGGTGGTGGTCGCCAATCGTTGGCGGACCTGGGCGGTCTTCCGCGCGAAAGCTGAAGCATGGACCGTTCCGAGACGTCCTCGTCGACTTACCAAACGTTACGGGAGTGGCAGCATGATGACGCCCCAATCAGAGACCCCAAACGCCACGCATGAAGACATCTCGTAACGAACCGTCTGTGGACCACAAGAGCTATGGCGTACTATCCTGCAGGAACGTTGCAATCATGTCAAAAACATATGCGATGTGAGAGAGGTCCACACGAAATCAATGTGTGGGGGGGGTAAGAAGACAGTGCGTTTCGAATTGTGCTGAAGGCACGCGTGCCCTCACTCTTTTGTCCTTCTCCTGCCCGCTCGTTCGCCTCCCCATGATCTTCTTCCTATTCACCCCTACCCGAATCCCCTGACCATCCTCTCTGGGACAAATGGGAGGAACGAACGCTGTGCTCGTGGCACAATGATCACAGTACGCGCGCCGAGCTCCAGCATCGCGCCTTGCTGAGCGCATTCAGGACGTCCACCTGCCAACGCCAATTCGGTCCAGCTGGAAATACCCAGCGCACATGCGTCAATACAAACCCTTCTCCTCTCTTGTTCGGCTGCTGGCGTGGCAACCAACCGAATCAACAACCTGACTTGATGCAACACGTGTGCAAATCAACAAACCGACAATGCTCATTTACTGTATCATGTCCGTCCGACGTTGATTTTGATGTGCAACGTGTTCGCGCCTGTCCTTCTGGCGCAACTTGTGCCCCAATCTGTAGGAAACAAACAAGATGGGAGAACCGCGACTCGGGACTGCGCGGGATGCCTGGGCAACCTACGGGCGGTAGAAAGGATGGGAGCATCGCGATTTGGCAATGCCCGGGGTGCCTGACGCAACCCGCAACCTTTGGCGCAGCCTGTGAAAGCTGGGTAGAAGGGGTACATCGCAATTTAGGGTACCTGGTCCAGCTTCTGATGAAACCTATGTCGCAAGCTGTGTAAGGTCTTTGGGCGGAGTGATAGGCAGAGTGGGAAACACCACGACTTTGTGGTGCGCGGGATGTCTGGCATTACCTGTGACGCAACCAGTGCAAGATAGGCAACGTGGAGGAATGTAGATTTTGGTAGTGTGCGAGTTTGTCAAAACTTATGGGGTGGCGCGACCTGTGGCAACCATGCGGATTAGAAATCGTGATTTGGGACTGCGTGGGGTGTCTGGTGCAACTTGTGGCACAGCCGATGGGACATAGACGGAATGGGGACACCACGAACTGTCGGGCGTGACATACAACGCAACCTGCGGCGCATGCGGTCCAGGGTCTAGGGTCAAGACATCTTTTTATTTGCGCCCTTCTCTTCTTCCACCTCCTCCGCAACCTTCTTCTGCGCCCTTCTCTTCTTCCACCTCCTCCCCAGTCTTCTTCCCTCCCATCAGCATCCATCTCTACCACCTCCCTGCCCTTTGCGCTGGCCCTGCACATGTGTCGTCTCCCCTGGCCACCATGCCGTCCGACCCCAACAGGAGGGGGGTCTTCATCAGAGCCGTGGCTGTTGACCCATCACCTCTTGCAAAGCTGCACTGAGGATGCCGAGCCGGGACGTGGACGAAACTGGCCAGAAGTGGCATCGCGCAAAACGGAAACGTTTCGAACAAATGTGCCAGATGCAACAACGCGCATCGCCCTGCCGCGAGACTCGTGAGGGACACCGGGCGCGAGACGACACACATCACGAACGGACACCGCTTAAGGAGGGCCTGGGGAGGAGCTCCCTGACGCTAGACGAGGGGAAATAATGATGACGAGGATGAGGAGGAGGAGGATGAGGAGGAGGAGGATGAGGAGGAGGATGAGGAGGAGGATGAGGATGAGGAGGAGGATGAGGAGGAGGATAATGACAAGTATGATGAGGAGGAGGCACAGCGTCGATCCCGATGGGGGAAGAGGGGGAGGATGAGGAGGATGAGGAGAAAGGGGCGGAAGAAGAGGAGGAGGAGGAGGGAACAGGAGGAGGAGGAGGAGGAGGAGGAGGAGGAGGAGGCGGAGGAGGAGGAGGAGGAGGAGGAGGAGGAGCAGGAGGAGGAGGAGGAGGAGGAGGAGGAGGAGGAGGAGGAAGGTAAGGCTGCTGAAGAGGAGGCACACAAATAAATAGACACAAATAACAGGATTCCTATAGTTTCCCATACCCCCCCACATCCGAGATGTTCCCCATATTTTCTGGGAAATCGACGATTAGTTGTGTCTGTGTGCTCTTTCCCTCCTGAACCGCAGCCTTCACTCTGTCGTACGTGTGGGGCACCAGCACTCCGAAGCGGACTGCTGCAGCGCGATCGCTCGGGAGGAGAAGCGCTCGGACGGGACTGGAGGTGGCCCGCAGCACCTTCGGCTCCCTGCATCCCGAGGCCGCGGCCGCCAGGTCGGCTGCCTCTGTGCGGGTGCTTGCCACTCAAGCTTGCGTCAGCGTGGGCGATGCCAGCCGCTGCTGCCGGCGACTTGCACTCCGGACACCTCGAAGCCAACGGGCGACGGGTAGCACAAGCACCTCCGCTTCTCCCCGCTTGTCGAGCTCTTGTTGGCAACGCGTGATGGTGTGCTGCGACGGTTCTTCTAACGTCATGACAGCAGAGGAAATGTACATTGCACTTGCCTAAGGTGCTCGGTGAAGCCTCAAGACTTTATGGATGGCATGCTTCTCTTTCATCCGCGCAGACTTGGCCATGGGGCACATCTGCGCAAGGTGGCTGGGTGTGGAGATCGCTGGTGTGTTTTAACAAGTGAACTCATCCACTCGCGGGCCCGCCATCACGCGAGGCCGTAATTTTGCGGAAGCCTCGGCCCATGAGTGGGCCCAGGTGGCCCTGGGGCCAGGCTGGACCCCCCACATACTTCTAGCATGAGCAAAACTGATATCGCGCCATGTAAGATTACGCAGAGACATAAACTCGCAAATAATTTGCGCTACGACAAGTGCCAACTCAGTCTAGTCTGGCAACATTTTCCGACTGACACTTTGATAATGCGAACCGCTCGTCTGCTTCGAATTTGGGTGCGCTCGCACTTGATTCCCGACCAATTTGACGCCTTTGTCGGCAGCTCCAGCTGCCCGGAATCACGATGACATATCGCTCTGCACCTCTCCAGGTCATATGACCGAAGGCGTGCCGATGGCGTGGGGGTGTGGATATGGAGACCGATCCAAGACCTCGAGCTGCGCTGTGGCCAGCGGCGGCAAAACCACCTCCGCCATGGCCAAGGGATCTTGAATCCGCTCCAGGTCCGCTCGCGCCTGCTGCCGCTCTTATTCCAATGTGGCTGTCAGCTGGTTGAGGCCGCCCACCAGCGGGCCACCGCGTCGAATCGCACTGCTGCCGTGCCCGACCGATCGCCCTTTGCATTTCACTCCGGATGGTGCCTTGGCCGCCTGGTCGCAGCTGCGCCGCCAGGGGGCTGACGGCCTCGCCGGCTGTTCGGGGCAGGGAGAGGCGCATGACTGCCCTGTGCTTGGCGAGCTCGGTGAGCAGGACCTCCTTGGCAGGGCGCTTCATGTGCTCGTCCTGGGTCTTTGGGCTGTCCATCACGTCCAGGCCGCGATCACCAGAACCAGTGTCGACGACGGCAGGGCGGCCGCCAGCAACAACGTCCAGGAACACCACGAGGTTCAGCTGCGTCGCGTGGTGGAGCACTGCCAGCAATGCGGGACGGGAAAATGACCACAGCCACTGCTTCTTGTTCGCGCCGCCTTCGAGCCGGCCGAAAAAGAAGCAGTGGCTGTGGTCATTTCCCTGGTGCCAAGCCTAACGAAGATGACCGCAACCACTGCCTTATTTCTGCTGGCTGGAAGGCGGCAACAAAAGAAAAGCAGTGGCTGTGGTCGTTTTCGCGTCCCGTAAGCAAACACATTTTCAAGAGTGCGGGCGCCCGCCGGGTTGAATTTTGCCCTCCGCGTTTGCGGCTTCCGCACGCCATCGGGCATGGCAGCTCGCGGGCAGCGGGGGGCAGGGCGCGGCCGCGGGAAGCTCGAGCCCAAGTGGTTTGAGCCAAACGTGTCACCGAGGAGGCGGAGGAGGACAAGGAGGAGGAGGAGGAGGAGGAGGAGGAGGAGGAGGAGGAGGAGGAGGAGAAGGAAGAGAGAGGAGAAGAAGAGGAGGAGGAGGAGGAGGAGGAGGAGGAGGAGGAGCAATTGCCACGGGTGCAGGGAGCCGGCTTCTCATAGTTGCCGCATCCTGCCTCGACGGGCCGGGGTGTGCCAGGAGGGGGCCCCGTGGGGCCCGAGCGCGAGGAACGGCGACGCCCCCGAGGCGAGGAGCAACGTCTCTTTGCGGGCCGGAGGTGACGGCGCCCTCCGGCGCCTGCCGTCGTGCACGCGCAGCAGGCGGGCCGGCGGGGTGCGCGGCGTCCGCCGCCTGCCCGCCCAGCCGTCCCGCCCGGCAGCCCCGCGCGCCTCTCTTGACCCGCGTCGGCCGTCCTGGTCTGAGGGGCAACGACCAGAGGGTTCCAAAGGGGCTTTTTGGTGAGGGGGTTCTCCAGGACGGGTCTCCCAGGGGCTTCGCACCCCCTGTCCTGACGAGGTCCCGAGGCCCCTGGGGGCTCTCTGGACCGCCCCCCCCAAAAACCCATTTTGGAACCCTCAGGGACGATAGGGGGGACTGGTACAGGGGGGGGGAACATCGCCCTGGAATCGGCCATACGTCGCCGACGGTTCGGCGATAGGCCCCCGATGGTGAATCCGCACGTGCCTGGGGCAGGCGGGGACCATCGGGCCCCGATCAGCAATGAGTGGGCGATTGGGGGTCGATGCGTCCCCCCCTGTGCCTATCCCCCCTGTCGTTGCCCTTGATGGTCGTGCACCCTCGCGCTCCAACTTGGCGGCGCGCAGGGAAGGGGGCAGGGCGAGGGGGGCGACCTTCTGCGAGGCAGTGGTGCTTTTGCGTGAAGGCGCCAGAGGCTCCCGAGGAACCTTCTGAGGAGGCCTGCGGATTTCTGAGAAGCCTGCTACCCTCTGAGAAGGGCCGCCCCCCCCGCCCTGCCCCCTCGTGCGCGCAGCCAATCACTGGCACACCTCAGCCTTCGGGGCAAGCCCCCCCTCGCGGTAAAGCCCATTAGCACGAAATGACGCTGATGACCTTGAACTTTGGCCCGCTGGCGTGGGTGAACTTCACGATCGCCTCGTAGACGTCCACCTCGGCCTTCTCGTGCGCGGTCCTGAAGTTCTGGATCGGCGGGTCCCAACCCTCGAAGGCCACGTACGTGACAGGATTCGAAATCCGGTCAGCCCATGCTCCATCGAGCGTCTTGACAGGGGAGCTCTGTCTCAGGTTGCTGCGCGCGCCGTAGGCCTCCACTGTGGCAGATCCCACCCCCTCGTAGCTCCGCAGGTACCCCAGGCTGAGCACGGCGCGGTGCCCGAAGCGCACGCGAAAAGAGATGGTCGATCCCACCCTGGTGGAGATCCACCCTGGGCGCCCCGGCACGTCCTCGGCCAGGCTCCACCCGCCTCTGGCCTCGATCCCCTCTCTCCACGAAGCGGGCTCTCCTGCATCGTACCTCGTCAGCGGCCGAAGGCAACCGGACATGCGGTCCAGCTGGTCCTGCGGCCCCACCGGGGCGGGCAGGGCCGGGGCCTCCCGCTCCCGAGCGCCCCCGGCGCAGGCACTCTGCAGCATCTGGAGCAGGAGCGAGGACACGATGTCGGAGTAGTACTGGTGCACCACCCACGGGGGATGGTTGTCGGGGCAGCAGGTGGTTTTGGTCACCGACACGTTCGGAACGAAGTCGGGCCAGTAGTAGCCTGGCACGGTGAACAGTGGCGGCCCTCCAGGGCGGTTTGGCCTGAGATACCGGAAGCAGAAGAGTCGGCACAAACATAAGCGTTCGGAGGTCCGCGCGGATTTCCTGAATGGGCGCTAGACCCCCCCCCAGCGCGCCAGGCGCGTCGAAGAAGGTCCAGCGACGATCCAAGAACTCCGCCTGGACCTCCGAAACCTAATGCATATGCAGAACTTCTGCTCTTCGAGATGCGGGTACGTCCGCGGCCAGAACCTGTCTGGGCCGTCCGGGCTCGCCCTATTGTGCCCCTTCACCACCGCGGCGTAATCCACCACAGGCACCCCGTAATGTCTCGCCAGCTGCCTGCGGCCGCCAGCCTGTCTGACGCACCCTGTGCAACCGTCCTCCACCAGGACGAGCTGTGTGTCGGGCAGCAGTGTGCGAACGGTCCGGATGATGCCCTCGAACCCGATCAAATGGTTCCTGCTCCAAGTGGGCGACGCGTCGTTCACGCTGCAGGCGACGAAGACCAGGTCGGGAGGCTCGCGCCAGCCATGCACGATGGCCCCGATGCCGCCCAGGAGGAACTCGGAGCTCATACCAGATGTGGCTCTGTTCTCCCACCGCACTGGCCTGCCAGGGAACGCGTGCGCCCACCAGTTTGCGGCGCGACCAGACCAACTGCAAACATTCCTCTCGTGCGTCGTGTTCTCGCCACAGCCGGAGCCTGCCGTGAAAGAGCCGCCGAAGACTTCCACGATCACGGTCTCATTGCCCGCGAGCTTCTGCAGGACGCGGCGCGTGCGGGAGAAGTCGGCTGGGATGGTGGCAAGGGACAGCAAGCTGTCGGTCAGCGCGTAGTGCTGCTCGAAAGCCTCTCGGTACTCCGCGCTGATGTCGTGGAAAACCCTCGGGACCTGCGAGAGCCCAGCGCAGACTCCCGCGACCTCCGTAGCGCCAGCGCGGTGGGTGGTGGCACTTTGTGCCACGTCTTCCGGGAGTCGGCTGTGCCAGGAGTGAGAGGGCGCCAACCACCTGCCTAGACGATCCTGGCCGAGCCGATCTCTGACCCGAGGTTGGAGTATATGCCTTCTGGCCGATGCAGGATGGCGTATTCACCGAATCCATGCCCTGCGTGGGCCTGGCCAGGATCGGTGTAATCGTATCGCTAGCTCCCCATGGGGCCACGAAACGTGTGCGCAGAGGTGGGCGGGGCCGTGTGAACTTTGCCACTGAGGCCTGCGGTGGAGCTCCCTATGGGGCCACGAAGCGCGTGAGGGGTGCGCCGAAGTGAGGCGGGGCCGCCATACGAACTTTGCCACTGGGGCCTGCGGTGGAACTCACCATGGGGCCACGAAGCGTGTGAGGGGTGCGCCGAAGTGAGGCGGGGCCGCCATACGAACTTTGCCGCTGGGGCCTGCGGTGGAGCTCCCTATGGGGCCACGAAGCGTGTGAGGGGTGCGCCGAAACAGATGCACGCGGAGGGCAGAGGCAAGGCAGGGAGGAGGGAGGGGGGGAGGAAGGAGGCGGGAGGAGGAGGAGAACGCGGGGCGCCGTCTCTTCACAACAAGGACCCAGCACCACAGAATGGTTGAGACAAATAATCAGACAATGAACACACATAGCCAAATACAGGACGTACACCTACTCCTATCCCATCTGGGAAACCCAGACACGCCTGTGCGCCCGGAGGTGCCGAGGACGCACGGCCGAAGACGGCCTCCTCGCTCCCCCTGTGCTCCCACCTTGCTCCGGCCGCCGCGCGCGGTCCCGACGGAGGCTACGGGTCAGCTGTTATCCCCAGGGCTTGCGCAAGAATGAAGGGGCCCATGGACACACAGATAAATACACACACAAGTAACAGGATTCCCCACATTTTCCAATATTTTCTGGGCTCTTGTCTGTCCCATCTTTTTCCATATTTTCTGGGGGGGGTCGACGACTCATTGTGTCTCTGTGTCTTTTCTCCTCCTGAAAGAGGGCCTCCCCCGCTCCCCTCCCCTCCCGCGGCTTCACGCGCCAGGGCCAACCCCGGGCAGGAACCATCTTTGCCTCGCGGCTTTCGGGGGGCGCGCGGATGGGGGGCGCGCGCCCGCGCGCGCAGCACGCCGCTGTCGCATCGCGCTCGGCCATCTGGGGACCCAGGTGTGCCCGCACGAAAGGTCACTGCAGCGAAAGGTCACACTCTTTTGGCGGCGCGCACAAGGGGCACGGGGGAGGGGGGGATGCCTCTGGGAAGGAGGCTGCTTCTTAGAAGGCGCCGGCCTGGCATCTCTATAGATGAGGGGCCCGCGCCCTCGAAGAAGCAGGGGTGCTTCTAAGAGGCCTTCCCCCTCCCCCTCACCCCCCTCTGCGCGTGGCCGACTCTTTCCCATTGCCGACTCCCTCCTGGCAGAATTGGACGCCCGAGTTCTCCGGGATGACTGCGGTCTGTGGTAATTCCGGTTTGGGTCCCCGAAGCGCGAATCTGTAGCTACCCTTAGGTCGGGCATGTCATCCTTCAGGTGGAATGCGGACGACAATTTACAAACAGTCAAAACATGCCCCCAACATAAGCAAACATATCAGAAACACCGTCCCCTGGACTAGCTTTGACTGTTTCTGAATCTATCATTCCTCGTGTGGGGGGACGTGCCCGACTGGAAGCTGCCCCCTGGCTCCCAGCCCTCACGACTCGGGAGGGCTGGACGCCCGAGCTCAGCCGGGACAGCTGCCGTCTGGGCCCCCGAGAGGCGCGAGTCTGCAGCCGTCCCTGGCCGCCCCCCCGCCCTGGCCGCTTCGGGGCCCTGGCAGACGCCGACTCCCCTGGAGACCAGCGCGCTCCACTGCAGAGTAGCTACCCGCCAATGGCCCGGCTCCGCATGGGGGGGAGGTATTCACGATCCATTACATGCAGTGAGCGTTGTCTTTGTCGGCGATTCGACATTGGGCGGAAGGACGGGGGGTTATGGGGGGCGGGGTCTGGCTCTGGACCTCTGCTTCACGCGACTGCTTGCAGCAGTGCGGCCTAAGTATGGGGGAACCTCCGCCTTGCGGGAAACAGGCGCCCCAAACAGCCAAGATCTACTCCACGGAGGGGGGGGGGGAGGGGGCTACGAGGGCCCGCGCCCCTCGGCAGAACAATGGAGAGGTAAACATTCACAAAGATCTGTTCCCAAACATGCGACGTCCGGATTTTGTCAGGACGGCGTCCCCGGAAGCCCCGACCCTTTCCCCGGGGCCGGCTTGCCATCCCGGGTCGTTTTCTGACGCTCCCCAGGCCCGGCGAGGGCCCCCAGGGGCCGAAAATGGCCAAAAACCTTCGTCCTGATGTTTGTTTTAGCGACGTGATCTTTTTTCTGTTTTGTTCTCGGACGTTTGCGAGTAGGCACCCTGCGAGCCGCGGAACGCGCTGGGTGATCCCCGGCCTCGGCCCGCCGGCGGCGCGCGCGGCACCGGCGGCGCGCGCGGCACCGGCGGCGGGGCGCCGCCCCCCCGCGCCGGCGGGCCGGCCGCTGCGCCGCTGGGCCGGGGCGGCACCTGGCAGAGCAGAGCCGGGCCCAGAGAGGATCGCGGCGTAGAAGAAAGAACTGGGCGGACGGTCTTCCCAGAACCCCTCGAGTAATGAAAAAATCATGACGGGGGGTTTTCCCTCATTTTCGGCCTCCGGGGGCCCTCACCGGGCCTCGGGAGCCTCAAAAAACGACTCAAGATGCAAAGCCGGTCATGGGGAAAGTGTCGGGACCTCTGGAGGTCGACGTAATGAAAAAATGCAAAAAAATCATTACGTCGGGGGTCTGGGTTTGGCCCATGCTAGGATGACCGTGGGGGTTTCTAAGCGGATAGGGGGGGTACAAATGGATGTTAAGGTGGGTTGTCTATATGAATGGGTTACACATGCCTTGAAGTAGCTCAGGGGGGTTAGCGATCCGGGCTAAGTGGGCTCCGCCCACCTAGCGGAGTTATCTAACCCCCCTGAGCCACTCGGGGCATTTGTAACCCACTTAAAAGCCAGGTTGGGCCAGATATGACCCACCTTGGCATCCACTTAACCCCCATCCGCTTAGAAACCCCCACGGTCATCCCAGCAGACAGGATCGCCGCGTGGAAAAAATCCGGGCGGGCGGTCTTTAGCCCATGTCGGCCTCGGGGGGCCCTCGCCGGGCCTCGGGAGCGTCCACAAAAACGACTCGGGACGACAAACCGGCCCCGGGGAAAGGGTCGGGACTTCTGGGGGGCGCCGCCGTGAAACAAAGTCAGGGCGTCGCAGGTCTGCGGCTCGCACTGCGACATCGGCTCGGACCGGTGACGGACGGGCTCGCCAGCGAATCGTCCAGACTCGAGTCGAGCCGAGACCGGATCGCCGCGCCTGGCTCCGGCTGGCCGCGATGGACGCCCGTGAGCCGACAGGGACCGAATTCCGAATCGTACTCGCGGCCCGGGCCGGCGAATCGGCTCGCACCGAAGCGGATGGTGGGCGGCCCGGCCTGGCCGGCAGGGCGGCGGCTCGCCGAGCGGGTCGCCCCGAGATCCTGGCGTCGTGCAGCCCTCGTGCTGCCGGACCCAGACATGGTCGCGTCGAAAAAACATCAGGACGGGAGGCTTTTGGCCGTTCTCGGCTCCTCCTCCTCCTCCTCCTCCTCCTCCTCCTCCTCCTCGTCCTCCTCTTCCTCCTAATCCTCCTCTTCCTCCTCCTCCCTCGCCGGGCCTCGGGGCCGTAACAGAAAACTGCTCAGGAGAAAAACCCGGCCCCAAGACAAAGGGCGGGACTTCCGGGGGGCCCGTCCTGAAAACACCCGTGCGTCGCCGCAGGTCTGGGCCCAGACGTGCGACGTCCCGATTTTTTCAGGACGGGGCCCCCCGAAGCCCCGACCCTCTCCCCTGGACCAGCTTTTCGTCCTGAGTCGTTTTCTGACGC